AATACCACGCTAGTGGCATTATTCCCTTGCAACTACTGTAACTTGATTATCACATGCCTCTAATTTTATATTTTCTCATTCATACAATCTAAATGCCAAAGTGAAGCAAGATTACATGAGATGGCATATTTGCAATATGTGATTTTTTCAGACTTTAATTAAGGGCCCGTATATAGGCAACTACACGTTACCAAGTCTAAACCATCAGTGAACCACAAGCAGCATATTTTCAATATTCATATTATAGAACCAGGCTTGTATTAGAATTATATAGCACTGGTAGATATCATGATGATATAGGCCTAAACATTCTTATCTAAGTCCATAAAGATTTTACCTTTGATCGACTTGTTTCTGTCCTGCACAACTATATAACTCTCAACCCTTACTCTTGAAACTGGCAATGATCCGCTGTATTATAGTATTTACTTGATACATCCAACACTTGTCAGTATCCTGCCAGTACGTAATTAGCAGCCTGCACATGCAATATATACGACACGCTCACATAGTTCTTCGTTTCCCCTATACCTTTGTTATGATCCACTCCGCACTTGGTTTCCCCTCTAAACAATCTTAAACATCAAATTACAGGTCACGTGCATACGTATAGTTGTGCGTTTCCTGTATACGTTCGTAATGTCAGCTCCGAACTTGATTTCCCTCTATGTTATACGATATTTTGTTATTTTCGACATTGGCTACATTTCTCTCTTTTAAAGACACATGCATTTGATTTTCATTCCAATTTGTTTGATACATATAGATATAGTATATGAACTATGGAAGTCTTACAGTTACAACCGTCGAGTTACAACCCTCATGCGTGCATGACAATGATGACATAGATACTTTGCATAAAATACTGAACCGTCATTTTGCACAGAAATTCGATTTTAGAATGGAGCATTAATAGCAATACTGAAAATGTTTATAATAACACTGCTACACTTTCATGTAGTTTTTTTCAACATGCATTGAAGTTCAAATTTTGGTATACCTCTGCACACCATTAACCAACACAATCCTCGTCCAAAGCATCCTCGTACCCAGGGTCTTTTTGAGGTGGTCGTGGCACCAGAGTGCATGTGAGTGAAAATAGCCTGGGTACGATGTTGCGTCCAATGGTGTCTGAGAGTACAGCCAACATCAGAATTCCGTCGGCATGGAAAGAATAATGCCGCCTCAGCCTAGTCCCAGGCTCTCTCTCTCTATTCGCTGCTTTGATATATTTAAATAAGTCTTAAAAGTTTTATGCCTGGATGTGCTGTGCGGAACCGTTCAGCGAGAAAGCCTGGCAGATTTCGGTAAAATGATCCCTGATTTCAAAAAAGTGGTCCCTGGCTGTTTATATACCAAGCACAGTACCGCATTTGTAAATAGAAAATGTTATGGAAATTTCCTTTGCGTTTATAATTAAGTCATTAGTTTTGCTCTAATGCTGTCGGAACAATGAAATAGGCTACGTTTCGCTACCATACGGTCAGAATGGAATAACAGGCTAAAAATGACTCGTGTTTACTAAAGTATAAAGCCATATTAATTGCTAGCTAGAAGCTTGAAAATTATGCCGAGTCTCCGACTAAAAATGTTTTGACAACACAGTCATGTCAGGCAAATATTTCCAATCTCCTCAGCTACTTAAACCTGAGTTGTGTATACCAGTATGGTCTATATAGTGTTGATCACAATGCAACTTGCGAGCATATAAATAACATCAACGATTATACGGCCATTGCTCAGACTCAGTATCGTAAATTTGTATATAATTTTTTTTAATTGAGCGCATTTTTAATACAGTTTGAATTTAGTTATGTAGACATCGAACATAATCAACGAACATTGTCGTATTTACAAGGTTATTTGTATATATAAATTTTCCGCCATATTAAATATACTGCCGAAATCTGCTAGGCGTTCTGAAGCACCTTTAGCGGTGACGTCACACTTAGGTCCCAGTTTCGTACTACATCCACTTTTTTCTCGCGCTTGCTTCAGAACGACTGGGACTAGGCTAATGCCGCCTAATTCGTTTTGCATGGGAACAAAATCGTGGATTTGAAATTCTTATTCACAAAGTTCTCCGCAAGCACAGGAGCAACCTCGTACCCTGGGCTTCTGCGCTTATTGCTCGTCAGAAGCTCTGAGAGAATTCAACTTAGAACGTGAGTTGATTGGTCAATGCGAATACAATGAAAGTATACAGAAGTTATTAGTCATTAACACACGGGTGATATTTTGGAAACATGGCTGCTATCACAAGGAGTGTATACGAAGACTACGAAAGTTAATTGCGGGTTAACGTTTCTGCATGAAAATATATACCTTTTAAACCAAATTCTGGGCTGGTTTGAAAAGAACAAAAGAAGAAATGGATTATTTTTATTTGTAGATAAGCAAGAATGGCTGAATGGCGAACAAAGTAACAACATAAATAAAGTTTAACATAAATAAAAGCGAAAATTTCTTGTTTTGTTGTTCAAAAATTCCAAGTATAAATTTACAACTTCAACCACGAAATTCAATGTAAATATTACATAATAAAGTTTTTAATATACTTTATATTTGCCTTTATCTGATAAATTGTTGTGTTCTAGTTATTGCATGCATTTTGTATTGGAATCGGAATACAATATACAATATACACAAATATTTATATTTACAAATTTATTTATCTCCAATTTGAGGATGCTAGGTGCACTACCTCAGTGCCTCTGAGTTTGAGATGCAGTGAACATGCAAAATGTATCAGTCGACAAATTATTTAACTTTGTACCAGAGATTCAGTGTAAATAATTTAGCAATTACTGCTGCTAATGTACAAACATTGTAATCTGTAAAGAAACTGTTTGATTAGGTTTGATAGCAAATATATTAAATGACTAATCCAAATATTATTTCCTAGCCTGCACGTGTGATAGTTCTCCCATGAGCCTACTAACCAGACTAATTATTTCTCTCTTGCTATGTTAAGATTTTTTATTTTAACTCCAAGTATGTTTGTTTGCTTGAAATAAAATTAACATCAGATTGATCCTGGATTGCACGGTCTTGCGTTGCATAGGTTATTTATAATAGGTCATAATAGCTTCCTCAGTATTAAATTGTGGGTCTATATGTCATATGAGCTGACTTGGAAATTGAGAAGTTTGATTTATACTTACAAAAACAGAGTAAAAAGTGTGATTTATACCAATGTTACACCTCAAATTTAAATTGTCCAATAAAAAAACAGCATTTGTAATTCATTTGTAAACAGCATTTCAAATTCATGGTTTTCCAATGCAGCGTGAGATATTATAATATCTTACGGTAGATCTATAGCTTAAGCAAGCGACGTTAATTTTTGTCAACACGGACGTCAGATGGCCAAGGGAGTACTGGATTAATTAAAAACGGTGTTTTTGTCAGTTTGTACCATAGATATCTTATATACGCTATATAGCGCATCTCTTTTAGTAAAATTGAAGCCAAGAATATTCCAGCGGTTATCCCCATTTGAATAGATGGCGGCCATGTTGGTCGTTCCCACTCGCTAACAAACGCTTAAAAACAACAATAACTTTCATCATTTGAATATTTTAAAAACGTATTTGGAATAGGGTTAACTTAATGTTTAAGTTTCCTGTTTAAGAAATAGAAAACATACGAATCTTCTAATTTCATGGGAACGACCTAGCTGAGACTGCAATCACGGCTTCAATTTTTGAACTGCAGAATAATTAGATGCACTATCTAGTGTATATAAGATATCTATGGTTTGTACATGTGGTAATCTTTAACACATATATATGAACCCAAAGGTGCGTATACATGCACAATTGAATCGAATTTTATGCATGAAAATTTCAAAATAGGTATACCTTTTTTCTGGACACCCTGTATAATAAGAAAGTCGATTAAATTAAAGAAACCAAAGGGTTTTTTTCGTGAACAATGCCTGCCGCTTTCATTTGTGTTTTCGTCCGAATGTTGTGCGAAAGATGCGATAAAATTTACTTATTCCAAACACAAAAATTAATTCCAAGTTGTTCAAAAAGAACTTAGACTTAGTTATTGAATCTTCAGAAAACAATCACTTGATGCTTTTGCATGATTTATGTATATAATGTCAAGTATTTTGGCGTTCCCCTACATGCCCTCTGACCTGCTGGTTTTTGTTTGCATTTCCTACGAAAATCAAAATAAAGACAGAACACGAATCGTAGAGAGAGTGTTTTTTGAGTAACTTGGGTATATTAAGTTTACTACGGATATGTTTTGCTTTGCGAGATTCCGGTTATTATTGCAGTTCGACACTGAGCGCTTCCCAACTCTTTACTCTAGACCCAGGTGAAATTGTTCTTCCACTTAACATACACAAGTATTCATTTGGTAGGTGCCGATACTGCATGGGATAGAAAATCATGACGAAAAATATATATCACAATAATTGAACGGTCACCAATTTGAGTAACACATTTTAATTTATTCAAATTTGAGAAAGGTTTACATATTACATTTACATTACAACTAAAATATGCAAGTACATGAAAAACATTGCATACGTATACATGAAAGAGCAAAATGTCAAATAGTAAATGTTTAACCACGTGGAGTCTTGTCTATACTACGACTGAATTAATGAGCAATTCATTCCTGTTGTCATATTAACCTCGTAATATAGCTGTAAAATAAAAAAAGCCAATTCATGGCAATGAAAAAAAGCACGCATTAATACTGCATTATATCATTAATTATAAAGAATAGCATTATCAGTGATTTAACAGGCTTAAAAGCAGAACTTTGAAGTTTGAAGTACTATTTAAAACACGCGTAAAAGTCTCACATCTTGTAGCAAGTCTGTCAACAAGCCGTCAATAAGTTGTGCATGTTCGAACTGGCTTGTCCCAAGTTGTCAACAAGGTTGAAACAAGCTGTTAACAATTTGTAACAACCTTGTTGATATTATCAGGCTTGTTACAAGGTTGTTCCAACAAGTCCGATACAGTCATGATATAACAATATTGTTACAACCTTGTGTCGTGAATCTTGTAACATTCTTGTTCATCATGACTGTATCAGACTTGTTAGGACAACCTTGTGAAAAGTCTGATAATGCCATCAAGCTTGTTCCAAGTTGTTAACAGCTAAACAGCTTGTTCCAAACTTGTTACAACAACTGGGAACAAGCAGTACGAAGACAACTTGTTGACAGCCTGTGAACAGATTTGTAACAACGTGTTTGCAGACTTGTAACAACTTGTGCGTTTTTACGTGTGTAGGAGTGTTTTATCATATTTAAAATGCGAGTGCGCAGCACGTGCATTTTAGGTATGATGAAACACGGCTATAAGTGCTTTTAGCTTCAAATACGACTAAAATAATAAAATATATGCCGTCTCATTAGTATTCTTTAGATAAAGAATACTAATTAGGATGGGCTTTTATATAAAGAATACTAATGAAGATGAGTTTTATCTTCATGATCACGTGACATATTATGGTTGAAATGATTTGCCAATAAGCTATGAATTATTAATGATGTTTGAATGCAATTTTATTCACACTTTTATAGGAACAACATATCCAAACGTAACATATTCCAGAGCGCAAGGCTTCAAGGAATCATTCATTATTAACAGAGAAAGAGAATGGGGGGGGGTCTTATTTTTCATAATATAACTTTCGGGGGGGACACAAGAATTGTTTTGTTTGATCTTGGAAGCCGAAATAAATGAAAGTCACACATATTTAAATGTCATGTTCGTTTTGGTAAAATTCGGCAAATTCTGCCGTGTTAAAATTTTAATGAAATTTTGTATATGCACGCACGAAGGTTATCGTTAGTAATTTGGCGAGGTGTGATAGATTTCTAAATTTTCTGGGGGAAATTACTTCTCACCACCAGAACCCATAAAAATAAGTGTGCCAATTGGAAATGCATCGTCCATTAATTGAGCCACCTTGTGTCTACAGCTTAGGTTTAGCAGTTGAAATTTCCTATATAAATTAGTATTTATTTCTATATACCAAGCCTGAAAAAAACATTGGCAGTCTCGAGTGCACAAACGTATACTGTTTCTTTCGGTCCTATAGTCATGAATAAGTGTTATTTGTTATATAAAGTATAGTGCTTTATGTACTGTTTAATAAACGAGCAGGAGTGCTTTATTAGGTTTAAAGCCACGAGCGCGCAGCGCGAGTGGCTTTAGACCTAATAAAACACGACCTGCGAGTTTATTGAACGGCTTCAAACACGACTACAAATGCAATAGATTTACTGGCTTATTAGTATTCTTTATATAAAAAATGCTAATGAGGACACGACTACAATAGATACTGCCTTATTAGTATTCTTTATATAAAGAATACTAATTAGGAGTGTTTTAATGAGGTTATGCAATAACCAAGATTAGCAACTTGGGAACCAGGTATTCTGACGTCAGCATGTCACATGACCGGGGGGGGATGGCGCCATGGGAGTAGGTGACATCTATCATTCCAAGTCTGACGTCCAAACGACGACAACGTGCGTTTTGAATATTTTTTTTTTTCTTTTGTATGCTTAGTTCAACAATTTATTTCCACCAATTTTTAATTGGTGTGAGGGGGTTAGTTCGGTGGGGGGTGGCAGCTCAAGATGCCATTGTCATGGATCTTAATCTGAGTCCAAGTAACATGTACAGGAGTCCGTCCAGGTCACCCCCCTCGGTCAGCTGAGCTAACACCTAACCAACCAAACGGGTAAGTATGGTGGACAAGATGTTAATCAGGTTTAAAGCCACTGCACGTGACATATTATGGTTAACATGATTTGCCAATAAGCTTATGAATTATTAATGAGTGTTTGAAGTACTATTTAAAAAACGAGCAGGAGTGTTTTATTAGGTTTAAAGCCACGAGCGCGCAGCGCGAGTGGCTTTAGATCTAATATAACACAACCTGCTTTAGATCTAATAAAACACAACCTGCGTTTATCACATATAAAACCACGACACGATTATGATTTTTCTTTGTGTTTTCCTCCTGAATTATTTATGAGTTTTTGAAAGAGATTTCGAGCACTGATAAAAGTGATAATCTCACATGTGAGATTATTTATGATAATCTCACATATATGTGATTACTTCTGATAATCTCACATGTGAAAATTATCGCTTTTCAATTATCGCTTTTCTGTAAAAATTATCCTTTTCAAAGACTGTCCTTTATATAATAAACAGAAAAATACATGAGTGCTTGTAAATACCAGATTTATTTCTCGTGTTGCATGAACATTATATCTCACTCGTTCGCTGCGCTCACTCGTGAGATATCATGTTCAACACTCGAAATAAATCTGGCCATGGTATTTCCGCGCACTATTTAATTATATAGAGAATAATACATTGGTGCTTGGAAATACCAGATTTATTTCGAGTGCCTGTTGAACATGAAATAAATCTGGTATTTCCAAGCACACATGTATTTTTCTGTTTATTATATAAAGGACAGTCTTTGAAAAGCGATAATTTTTACGGAAAAGCGATAATTGAAAAGCGATAATTTTCACATGTGAAATTATCATAAATAATCTCTAAATAATCTAGCGGACTAGGCCTTATACATTTCAAACAGTGGCGGAAACTAGGGGGGGGGGCGAGGGGGAGTGATCCCCCCCCCCAAAAAAAAAAAAAAATTACTAAAATTATATTTTAGCTAGATTTCATAATTCAATTTGAAAAATGAAAGCACAACATAAGGATGCACTATTTGTTACAATAACAACAGCAACGAAATGGTAAGTTTTAATAGAAACAAGCTAAAAACAAGCTAAAGTATTCTAAATTTATGATCTCACAAGTCACACAATGAGTGTTATGCATTCTGAAAAAAGTCAGATTAAATTAGTTTTAAGCGCTAGCTGCGCTACAAGTCTTTACTTAAACTGTACTATTCGGGATTTTTGATTTACCCATCGATCAAGCACTTTGTCCAAGTTTATCCTTTTTAACAGGTTTTTATTCATGGATAGCAACATAAAGTCACTGGCCAACGCTAATGCATGCACGCTTCAAACTTGTCAAAGCCAAAGCTGACATTTTAAACGAAAACAAAAGCGTGAAAAGGTTTGACAAAGTCTGTGCCGACTTGGGGCAAATCGGGGGGCGAAACGATTTGTATTCATTACGAGCACAGCTCACTATCCGATTCATAACACTGAAGCTTCTTTCCACGGTTGCAGTAACAATTGGCAAGGTCTTTGATATGGCGATCACCTTGAATAAGTTGGGGGTACAGCTCAGCGCCGATGTTCTTTCCAGCAAGCAATTAGAATCTTCGCCCGTTCGCACTCGGTTTTAAACAAGGCAGAGTCAATATGGAGACAATACCAATGAATGTAACCTTAGGCGAGACTTTTTTATTTATTGGTTTGCGGATTTTACTTGAAAAAAACCAGGTCGGTAGGTCGGAAAAAATTTTAAAAAAACATTGTTTTTCAAGATTGTCATAACGATAAAATGAGCCAGTAGTACTTTATCGGTAACATATCCTAGGGGACAAAGCCTTGCACACAAGCGAGGTAAACAGATTGGTGCTGTTAAAATATAAAGCAATATTTGTAGAGAGAAATCATTTCAGTGCTGCATCATGTAGCAGGGCCTTTTTAAAGAACTCGTCAGTACGTGGGGGAGGCGTCATCTACAGAAAGGGGCCATACTATTATATACTGAGATGAAGAGATACAGATGGTTGTGGCACGGTGACAAAAAGGTTAGTGTGGGGTTGTATGATTGTATAATAGTAGGGAGGTGTCCCCGACGAGAAATTCTCTCCCAGAACATTTTTGTATTTTTTTACCCCTAGGACTCATTTCGTGCGTTTTCTGAAACAGATTTTGGATATAGTGAGAGCGCCGTGCAATTCCGCATCTGCACGGAAAATAACAAAATGGCGCCAAAATCAGTTGAAAAAATCTTAAATTAACATCTCGTGATGTCAAGTTAATTTTTGTTATAATAGATTTCTTGAGTAACCATAACGTAGAATAATGAAAAAAATACTCGATCAAACTCAAATTTTGTAAACCAGGCCGGGGGTGTTTTTTTTCCAACAAACTAAAAATGGCTTGCGCACACAATTTAAAAGCTTTAATCGTATTTTAAGTTAATGGATTGAAAACTGGTTGGGTTTTGAATTACTGTACACAATTTTAGACAAGTTGCTACGTAGGTTAATAAGCCCGTTAGCTATTCATTTTTTTCTTAAAAATCAGCGTTTTGTATATGCTTAATTAATGCCTTCACCTAATCAGTTGCATATTGCTGCATGCAATATCCGAATTAGGCAAAGACATTCATTAATTAAGCATGCAAAAAGCTGGGTTTTTTAGGAAAAATGTAAGTTTGCGAGAATAGTTAAAAGGCTTAAACTGAAGCATATTGTCTGAAATTTCGTCCAGCAATTAAACAACACCCAACACAATTTTCACGCATAGCTTTTAAATCTGGTGCGCAAGGCATTTTTAATTTGTTGGAAAAGGTACACGTCCTGGTTTTCAAAATTTGAGTTTGAGAATTTTTTATTATTATTCTACATTATAAGTACCCAAAAAAGCTATGTATATCAAAAACTGGATACTAATAGCTGTTTTGTGAAATTGAGAGAAATTTTAAATCTGTTCAGTTTTTTATACATCCTGTATAATGGAGAGAGAGAGGGGGAGGCTTAATTAAAGGGGAAATCCATGCCAAAAACAATTTTTTTTATTACTCCTAAATCACTGATCATGAAGCAGACAATAAATATAATTTAATTTCCCCCATCCAGGCAAAGCCATGCAATATAATTATACAGCCTTATACGGATCGAAACCTGAAAACCACGTGACTTAATTTTGTAATCATGATGACATCTTTGAAGGAACTACACTGCGCGGAATTATTTAACTTACGTGCATGACATATGCAGGTTTGACATCCTCTTGCGTCTTTGACATAACCAAATCCTGGGAGGCATGGTTTACATTTGAGGAATGGGCAAATTGCTGTCGAATCGAACGGATAGATAATAATTAGCAATAGAGGTTATCATGACTATATTTCTTACCTTATCATATAAGTACAATCATAAGTATCATTTTATATATTATGAGTATAGTTTTCATGAGTATATTTTTAAGTTAGGAAACAGCTATTAATTTATATCCTATTTTCAATGATGCATCGGTTAGTTGAAATATAATGAGTCCAATATTCTATATACTGATTCGTGAATAGCCGATTTCAAAGCTAAGTGGGTAAAACTGTTATCTGCGTGTAATATACTTAGACCAAACGAGTGAGTTTTGGTTCACGAAATGCTAACAAGTGCTCAATATCATGTAGATAGAGCGGATATGTTGTTCTTTTACCTCAAAAGGTTGGCACAACAGCCTGTTTCATCCAAGAGGAGTCATCTTTGATGAGCCACCACGGCCAGTATAAGCCACGTGATGATTCCTCTTGGATGGAACAGGTTGAGGTAAAAAAAACTGAACAGATTTCAAATTGCTCTCAATATTGCAAAACAGCTCGTGGTATCAAGTTTTTGTTATATATAGATTCCTTTTTGTTATATATAGAGCGCCCATAATGTAGAATAATGAAAAAAATACTTAAAATGAAATTGAAAAACATCGATGTAAAAAACGATATATATACATACAGTACATACTAGGCATACATATTTTTAAGGAGAAAATGTTCGCGAGTGAGTATTTCATAATTTCCAAACCGCGCGCAAGCACAAAGATGCCTGCCGCAGCTATGCAGCTGCGACCTTCAAATTACCAAATGCTATAAACTATATACTGAATGTTATAAACATACTCGTTTTTATTATATTTGAAGGTTGCTGGTTCCAAACCCAGCCGCGGCAGCCAACTTTCTACTTACGCGCGGTCTGCAAATTATGAAATACTCACCGAAAAACATTTTCTCCTTATCATGTTAATTACCGAGTGAACAATAACATAACATAACATAACACTTGCAGAACTGTCTAGTATTGTTCGATGCAGATGAGTTTTGGTTCACGAAATGCTAAAGAGTGCCCGATATCATATAGATATAAAGCAGATATGTTGCTTTTTTACCTCGAAAGACAAAAGGTTGGCACAACAGCTTGTATTATATCCAAGAGGAATTAGATGAAACAGGTTGAGGTAAAAAAACTGAACAGATTTGAAATTGCTCTCAATTTCGCAAAAAAAGCTTGTGGTATCAAGTTTTTGTTATAATAGATTCCTTGAGTAATGAGTATCCACAATGTAGAATAATGAAAAAATACTCAAACTCAATTTTTTTAAAGCAGGGGGGTGTTTCTTTTTCAACAAACTAAAAATGGCTTGCGCACAAAAATTAAAAGCTTTAATCGTATTTTGAATTAATGGATTGAAAATTGGCTGCGTTTTTAATTACTGTACAAAATTTCAAACAATTTGCTTTAGGTTAAGCCCTTTCACTATTCATTTTTTTTCCTTAAAAATCAGCGTTTTGTATATGCTTAATTAATGTTTTTACCTAATTTGCATATTGCTGCAATGTCCAAATTAGGCAAAGGACATTTATTTAGCATGCAAAAGGCTGTTTTTGAGGAAAAAATGCAATATAATTATTGCTAAGCCATGCAATATAATTATTATACAAAAAAACAAAGGAAATGTTTTCTTTAAACATACAAAGAACTTATAATAATACAGCCTTACGGATTGAAACCTGAAAACCACGTGACCTAATTTTGTAAATTAACATTTGCCAACAAGGATTCGTCATGATGACATCTTTGAAGGAAACTTACGTGCACATTTGCAGGTTTGACATCCTCTTGCATCTTTAACATAACCAAATCCTGGGACACATGCTTGACATTTGAGGGGTGGGCAAAAAATTGCTGTCGAAAAATTGACACGGATAAAAATCAGCAATATTAACGGCTTATTGAACGAGTATGAGGTCTGTACTGTGAAATATCAGACCGAGGTTTTTTAGTATGGACCGAGCGACGAAGAAGCGAGGTCTCATATTACACAGTACAGACCGAACAAGTGAGGTCAATAATCGGTTTATTATATGGCTGAACTGAGTCTGTGTGCATACATGCTTTTCGCGCGAATTAAATCGTCTATCGTCAGTTTCACTGGGTAACAATATACGGTAGGAATGCATGCTCAATCAAAAACAATCTGGTTGTTTGAAATTTTTATCTGTAAAGCACAATTGGAAAGTTAAAAAGCAAAACTTTTTTCAATTTGCAAAGCAAAAATTTCCCGCCAGATAAACGACATCCGGGATACTGGTCCAGATACGGAAAATACGGACCACGGTCCGGATATGGGTTTTTACGGACCGCTTGTCAACCAATCAGAATACAGAATTTTGAAAAGCCATATATTAATAAATAGAGGTTATCTTGAGTATATTTTTAAGTTACTGGAAACAGCCATTAATTTATATCCTATTTTCAATGCTGCATCAGTGAGTTGAAATATAATGAGTCCAATATTCTATATACTGATTCATGAATAGCCGATTTCAAAGTGGGTAAAAGTGTTAGGGGCCATTCACAAAGGATGTCCGAGCCGAGGGGGGGAGGGGGTTTGGAAAATTAGGACAAACTCGGACATGGGGGGGAGGGGGTTTTTTAGCAATCAGGATATCCGAAATTTAAAAAAATTCAAAAACAAATTTTTTGTTCCTCTATTTTGAAGTCTCTTTCCTATTGTGAAATTGGCATTTTGAACACTTCATAACATTATCTAATTCTTTCCTTCAATATATTTATAGTTATAAAAAAGTTCTAAAAGTAAAAAAAGCTTTTTACTCTTGATATATACAAGGTTGCGTGAGTTTTTGCGAGACATGGCGGATGTCCGGGGGGGGGGGAGGGGGTTCACTAATCCGGACAATGTCG